ACTAGTATTCCTAGGTCCGACCTCATAATGGACCCGACTAGTATTCCTAGGCCCGACCTCATAATGGACCCGACCTTGGAATTGGCCCATTTGGAGTGGGCCAAGATTGGGACTACTAGCCCGAGTTCGGGTCAAGTAGCTCGAGCTTGGGCCTATAGATATTTTTTCCTCATAAAAAAGAAAAGAAAATTCTAAAGATGTCATTTTTGCATTTCATAATTATTTAAAAATAAATAAATCTAGAGCCTCGTGAATTCTTCAATTTAACGGCCACACACTGACACACAAAACATAGGCGTCATAGCCATGTCCCTCCTCCTCCCACCACCGTCGCTCTTCCATTCCAACTCCGCCTGCCAAAATTTGCTAACTGTTGATGCCACACGCTCCTTTTACCGTTCTAAAGCTTCATGGCAAGAGGTATATTTGGATTTTGTCGACACTTATGTACTACTGTATATCTTTGGGTTTTAGTGGCCATTAGTTTATCCAACAAGTGTTGTTTTGAAGGTTGCTGGTGTTTTGGTTTTCTCGGCAATTCCATTCACGGCGGTGAAAGCTATCGCCAATAGTCCTCTTGGGGAGGCGTTACAGAGGCGAATGGAGGAGAAGAAGCAGTTTTATCAGGAGAATTCTTCAAAGTTTAAGGCACTTGCGGACGAGGCCAGAATGGATAGGTGACATAACTTAGTACGCATTCACAATTGTGCCTATTTCTTCCATCGCCTATATTATGAGTAATCGTTGACTCGTCATAATAGAATTTTAGTGGGGAAAGATACTAAAATTGCTACTTCGCCAATTTTTTATGATTATGTTATATGTACTTCCTCTGAGATAAGACAGAGATTGTACTATGGAATTAGCAAGATTTGTTTGTACATATGCATCTGAATTAATTACCATCTTTGGTAATATTTTCAATTTTCTATTATCCAGACATTATCTGTACCGAGCTTTGTCCAACTTCAGTCAAATGAATATGTCTAATGATTAGTAATTTGGCTTTACAGCATGTGGTATGGAGAGGATCGTCCTCGCTGGCTCGGTCCAATCTCATTCGAATATCCTACCTATCTCACCGGCGAACTACCTGGAGACTATGGTTTTGATGTTGCAGGTCTGAGCAAGGATCCAATAGCCTTGCAAAAGCTTTTTAAGTGAGTGTGCCTAGCAATATTTGCACAAATCTGTTGTGTGATTACTAATGTTAGAGTTTAGATGGTGATTTAGTTAATTTTTCACTGAAGAGTTAGTAAATTTCTTTCAAAATTTCTAGATACCGTTGTCTTCTTTTAGCTAAACATTTATATCAACATTTGACCTTTAGCTTCATAGATGCATAGCAAAGAAGGTGGCTTCTGTATCCTTTCCAATTGGAATACATAAATGATTGAATAATACGA